TACTCAAATTTTCCTCCAAAGAGGACGCGACTAGAACCTGCGGAACACGTCAGCAAGTTCGGTCGCGCCCTGTTAAGAGAGAACCAGAGTAAACAAAATCACCTCATATATTCCGGACATGCAAGAGTGACAACTTTTTTTTTCAGTTCTCCATTTGTAGTGAACCGACAGCCGCGTAGTTCAACAGCGCGACATTGGGGAATATGAAGGCTATGGAGCTCTCTTATTACTTGTTGGCGTACAAAATGACAACAATAACAGCTGTAAGATTCTCTTTTTGTATCTGTTTTTAATTTACCGATGTGATGCATTTCTGAAAAAATAATGTCCACCAAGAATAAAAAACAAATGCCACATGTAAAATTACTTTAATGGCCAGAGAAAGCACTGCAAAATTTGGGTAATTTAGTGATATTATACTCAACAATAATGCTCTGCACCAAGTAAATTTGCAAAACCTGTGCTTAAGTGGTGCGTCTACGTTTATTCAGAATCTTATATGCTCACTCATTTTTTATTTTTTTTTGACGAAACGGAAATAATATATAAAACTCAGAAGAGTATGTACAAATGAGAGTGCACTCAGGCACAAAACTTAACTGACTAACAGCAGCTAAGAGGAAAGAGGGTCAGCCCCTCACAAAGACTAAACAAAACATAAAGCTACAAGAACAAAAGAGAGCTCACCAAGACTAAAGAAACTAGAAAACAACATAGAGCAAACAGATAAAGGGAGACAAAAGCAAGCCTGCAGCTGTTAGAATGAAGAACAGGTAGCTGATAAACCACTGATCTTAGAAGATCCTAGCTTAGCTTCCACAGAAGTCAGCTCCATAACACCAAAACACAAAGGAGCAAAATCCAGGATGCAGAACACCAAAACACAAAGGAGCAAAGTCAGGATGCCAGGAGTGCAAACTCCTCAAATTCCACCCATTATCTTCTAGCTTGACTCGCAATTTCAAAATCAGAATTCCACAAATTATTGAAGATCCAAAGGTTTCGACATTTCCAAAGTCTCCAAAGAATATAAGTAGAGAAATGAATTCTGTCCTCAAAGTTGTTTGCCCTTTTCATTGTGCAAACTTCCATCCACCAGTTCTGAAAAGTTAGATATGGATTTTGAAAACAAGTCCAATTCACTCCTGCAATCTTCCAAACATTTATGGCCCGAGGACATGAAAAAAAATAAGTGCTCCAGAGATTCATCACAAGCTCCACAAATTCTGCAAATAGGGTCAATGGGGATTCCTTTGAGGACAAGTTGGTCTTGAGTGCCAATGAATTTGAACCAGCATCTACAAAGGAAGATTTTAATTTTGTTCTTGATTTTCAGAGACCATGTAGTCTTCCAAACCTTTGCCTCAATGGATTTGGTGCTGCTAGATTCAGGGAGTATGGGCAGGGTTTTTTTGGATGCAAGAATGAGAGAGTATGCAAATTTCACAGTAAAGATACCCTTCTTGTGTGGATGCCAATATAACAGGTCCTTCTGGCCCTTTCTGGACAAGGGAGTGTTCAGAATAAGAGAAGCTTCTTCAGGGCTAAAAGATTGTTCAATCAGATCTTGGTCCCAGGTGGAGCCATCAGCACACATAAGGTCACTGACCTTGTTCAATTTCAGTCTATCAGAAATGAAACCAGAGGATGGAGAGAGGTTTGGGGTACCTGCAAGCCAAGGATCTGACCAAATGGATGTGTTACAACCATCACCAACATTTTGAAGGACACCCTTTCTGAGGAAGTTTCTTGATTTCAACCAGGTACTCCATAACCATGAGTCAGCAGTTTTGTGTTGAGCTTCCCACAGAGAGCAGCTAGGATAGTACTTACTTTTGAGGACTTTGGACATCAGGATGTCAGGGTTCTTGAGCAGTCTCCATAATTGTTTTGATATCAGAGCTTGGTTGAAAGAGACAAGACATTTGAAGCCCATACCACCGCTGTCTTTTGGCTTTGAGAGAGACAAGACATTTGAAGCCCATACCACCGCTGTCTTTTGGCTTTGAGAGATTATTCCAGGAGGACCAATGTATTTTCTTTCCCCCATCATCTCTAAAACCCCACCAGAAATCAGCTTGGAGTTTGCAGATTTCTTTGCAAATACATAGGAGTAGTTTGAAGCACGACATAGTAAATGTGGGCAAAGCACCAATGACAGTCTTCAAGAGGATCTCCTTCCCAGCTTCACTTAAGAATGTGTTTTTCCAAGATTTAATTTTGGAAGCAACGTTATTAACAACATAGCTGAAGGTGTTTTTTTTTTAGGAACCCAAGCCGAGGGGAAGCCCTAGATACCTGGAGGATTTAACAGTGGAGATCCCATTTAAAATCAAGTTAATTTCAGACATGGCTGAAGATGGGGTATTTTTGGAGAAATATACCGATGATTTAGAAAGGTTCACCCGTTGTCCTGAATCAAGGCCATATAATTTAATGATATTGGAGAGCATGACAGCATGGTGGTGGTC